TTGAAACAAATTGAATGTTGATCCAGTCTATTAGAAACTATATGAGATGATTTATAGATATTGAAAAAATATGGAATAAAGTGTTACATGAGTGTTTGAAAAACTCCTACATAAGAGATTTGCAAAAATCTGGCCTACGATTGCACTTTTTTAAATATATAGGATTTTCAATAAAAAAGACAAAAAGAGAGGACATTTTATACACCGCTTCTGTTCAATTGTTTCAGTGTTTTTTAATTGTTCTGCTCGAAAATCGTTTTAATAAAGCTGTTATAAATAGTTCAACCGTAGCCAAGATCCTTATGTAATTTTTTCTACTGAAATAAGTCACTAATTCGAGGATCATTATAAAAGTTTTCTCAACTCGATAAATAACAACATAGTAGATCATAAGCTTCGAAAAAACAAATACATGAAAAAGACAAAATACTATTTCTCATAATTAGAGCAGACGCTTCAGATTACGGACATGACTTCCCAAAAAGTCTCAACCTAATTTTATTCTCCTGATAATCAGCATTCATTGCTAATTATTATTCACAAGTTTACTTTGTATTTTATCATAACTCAGCTTTTCCTGGTAATAAATAAGTGTAAATGAAAATGCATATGCACAGGATGGCGTAAACTTTCACGGGCTTGCAGAATATGTCGTTATTTAAAAAAAAAGATGTTCTTTTGGATATATATATATATACAGCTTTTATGTCTAACTAAAACTTCACAAAAAACCCAAAACTGGTACATGATCACTGTGTGAATGTTTTTTTTCTTTTGAACTATTTTGTATTTTGTACTTACGTTAGTATTAAACAATTTATCAATCAGTCCACTAAATAGGCGAAAGGAAAAATACTATTTAAAACAAATGTCACTATATAGTACAAGAATTTGTCCAAAACACATGATTATACACATTAAAAGTTTTTTTTTTCGTCTAAAGACAATAGCGAAATTCAGAGGTTTTCAAAAATTTTCGATAAAATATAGGAAACATAGGTCGAATCGCACCCCAGACAAAGATAAATATCATGAATGTGGCAAGCACTATTTTCATTTGTTATGAAAATCTTATTTCTGTTTGATACGTCTCTAAAGAATAGTTGACGGGAAAGAAAAAGAAAAAGATCGACTGTATCAAATATAGTTTTGAATAGTAACTAAAATTGAGTGAAAGAAAATTATTTCAGTATATTTGAACTGTATCGAAGAAAAGTTCAATTTAATTTTTTCTTCTGCCATTTTATGACCGTTAGTTTTATATACAAATTCTCTGAAACTGATGAACATCAATTAATAGAAACTTATTATTGTTATTATTTGTTTTTGTCTTCTGAATAGATTTAATCATTTATCGTTTCCGTAACAAAATAGAAATCGAATAACAACAAAAACAACAACAGACACCTGTAAACCAAATAGAAACAAGCAAGAGATTGGTAAAGCCAATGGAAGAGAGAAACAAAAACTTATAATCAAGTTGAAATATTGTCATTAGAATCACTATCAATATCTAATAAACGAGCCTTATGTTCAATAGTTCTTGTATCAGTAAAAAATTCATTTGAATCGGGTTTTGAACTAGGTAAAAGTAAAGAAAACATTAATGCTATAGTAGCCAGTAAAGCACCAAAAAGAAAAGGAGGACCGGGAACATCACGACTAAGCATTGATGAAGAAATAGAATTTCCACTAATACGTATTGTGGTACGATTCGAAAACGTCGACATTGTCGATGATAATGGTGGTACGGATTCATTCAAATTGACATCAAATAAATAAAAAATAAAACCAAATAAAGCTGGACCAAGCCCATTACATAAACCACGTACACCATTAACCATACCTTGAACAAGACCTAAAACAGCACATCATTTTTCAAACCTTGTGAAACAAGCAGACCGCATGTAAATAATGTCTCATTATCATGTCGGAAATACTTCTTTATTTAACTTCTGAACAATTGTGTAAAAGCATGACTAAAAAATTTGTGTCAAAATAGAAAAACTAAAACAAGTTCTATGCTAGTAACAAGAGTAAGTGCGTCATGTTGCACAATTTCCATCTTGAGAGAGATCATTTTAATATGTTTTTCTTACCTTGTTGATTATCTTTAGCATAAACAGAGACAAATGCACTTATGGATGGATAGGTTACAGATGATAATGCAGCTAGGCCACCAGCAAACCACATGACCCTAATATAGAATGTTATTATCTAGTTACAATTTTATAATATCTTTCGCTTGCTCTCACCAATTAGATGTAGCTATTCCATAAGCTGCTAATTGAACAATTTGAAAAAATAGTCCAACCATAATTGTTTCTTTTGAACCAAAATACTTTTGCAAACAAGCCAGTAATGCTGTCTAAAAATGAATACAATTATGAAGTTCTTTTTTTTAAAGTCACGTCTTTTCGTACTTGAGCAATACATGAAAAAATACCGACGAATGCAATGAAATAAGCTATTTCATCTTCGGAAAACCCAAGCATCTACAAAATTAAAATAAGCTTATTAATTCATGAATATCTGTATGGATATTGTTCTAACTTACTAATCGTAAATAAACAAAAAAACATGAGTATTGTCCCGCTTCTGTAAAAAGAAAGAAAAACGAACGACATAAAAATAATTTATTAATGAATATATAGTTTCATACCGGGAAGATAGGATAATAGAACAATTAGACATATTAAACAAATAAAACGATCATTTGAAATATTTTTGAGAGCCTAAACATAATACAATCATACATTATATTTCTATGAAAATAAAAACTGACTGCAAATGGATCAATTTTATCCCAAGATATTTTTTGGTCTGTTCTTAAACGTTCCGGTAGTGACTCCGGTACAACAAAAAAGATAAATACTAAATCAAGTATAGCAACGACTGTACCTAATTAAATCAAAAAAAGAAAAGAAGAAGTCATATTTCAATAATTAAATATGACACTAAACAAACCAAGTGCAATCACAAAATTTTCACTATAAAGTCTTGCTAAATGAGCACCAATAGCTGGACTTGTGATTAATGATGCAGCAAATGTTGCTGTTACCAAACCTTAAATAGAAAATAACCATAAAAATTAACAAGCAATAGCAGATAACATTGCACATACCATATGCACTACTTCGTGAATTTTCATCAGTAACATCCGCAACATAGGAATAAACAACACTGAATGTTACTGAAAAAAGACCACTAACACTAATCAGTGCAAAATACCACCTAGAAAAGAAAATAATCAAGATAATATTTGATTTCAAGAATGCATTCTTGAGTTTAAACTTTCACACAATTAGAAAATCTTTTTGTAAATGACACAACGAAAAATTAGAACAATGAATTCTTTTTTAATAGATTTAATTGTGTGATATTATGATTCATTTTACACTCTCAGAAAATCAAATATTGTAATATATTTAATGAGAAAATTAGTTATTCATAAACGAAGCCCAAATAAGTCTTTTTTTTTGACTACTTCAATACCTCGATTTAACTTATTCAGTCACTTTTTTTTGTTGTCTATCGAAATCTTTTACTAATGATTTCAAAAAGAGAAAAGACTTTTGCCTAGGGATATTTTACTTACATCGGGCTGATTTTCATTAATGGAATTGGACAACATGTGAAAAAGACTGTAATCAATAAAAATGATTTTCGTCCCCATATATCCGAATAAGCACCAAGCAATGGTGAACTTAAAAATGTTAATAAACCTCTAGAAATAGAATAAACGACATCAATTGAAATTCAACATCATTTTATTTACTTCACTCCATGTATAACACCGTTCATGAGAAATGTATGCGTAGGGAAGGTTTGATTGAGAGTCTAGAAAGAAAAAAAACACGTTGTGTACAGTTAAAAGAATTTAAAATTCAATATTCTTACTGAAATAACTGGATTTGTAAGAAGACCCCACGCAAAAAATTCGAGAAATATTACAACGAGACCATGATATACACTTGGCTTGCCAAAACCACCGGGCTAAAACAAAAAGAAAAAGAAAGAAAATTTAAATGTTAAGACTAGACTAGAAATTTCATTTTTCTTAAAATTCAGCAAAAAAATGAATTATGTACTTTAATTATTTTATATCGTCTATTTTCAAATTTGACCCGTTTTTCTCCATCATCATCTGTATTTAGCGTCTCATCGAAATCCGTTACATAATCTGTCATGACCGATGACGGAAGACGCCGTAAGTCGTTTGATACCACTAATTTTGCCAGTAAAACGTCGACTTATGTACACTTACACGAATCAATAGAATATAATGATCACAAAAATTAGCCAATTACACGGCACAACAATTTTATGTTTTTATTTTTATTAAAATATTTTTATCGAAAAAGGAAGAACTAATTCATATAAAAAAAATATGATAATACGCTTTAAAAAATAAATATGCAAATCAATACATATATATATATATGTAAAAATCTTACCAAATTACTACGAGCAATATGACTGCTAGCACTGGTTAAACGACGACGAGTTTTTATAACGATCATAACTATATTTAATCAGATGAGCGAAAAATATTATACAATAATCTTTCTTTTCTTTGATTCACTTGGAAAATAATGGTCACATAAGTTAGACCACACCTTCCTTCTGTGCTGAAAAACTTGCTTGCGTATGTGCCACCTGATACTCAATGAGACGATCACGCAGAATGAAAGAAAACGCAATTGGAATACGAACTACGTATATGAGTCATACACATCTATTTCTCTTTCACATTGCACTTTTCTATTGGAAGTTTCTCGTGACTTATGCAGTGATCTGATAGAGAGCGTTGGTGATGTAGCATACAGAAAAAAGAATACAACACACAACAAATCGCTAAACCACAACCTGACAAATCAATAATAAATAAAAACTTTCTAATTTTTTGCCTAGTTTAAAAGAATGCATAATGATCAAAATATTTTTCTCTCATAAATTTTTTAATTTAGATATAAAATTCTACTTCCTTCTTTGAAAAGATGCAAGTGTATGGTATATCTCGTTTAACTTCAAATACAATGAGACGAGCATTTCCTATATTTCGAAATTTATTACAAACAGGTTAGAGAGCTTATTTTAATTGCAAAGCTTTACAAACCGATCGTATATATTGATTAGAAACTCTGCGTACAACAAACTTTTGTCGTTTTGCATCAACTGGAAGTGATCAACAAAAACAAAATGATGACAAAAAAACGAACATGACAAATTTATTTTATATTCTTGGAGGTTTAGCAGGTGCAGGTTTAATCTATTCAGTGGTATGTACTTTTTGATTTTATATATCTTTTTATTTCAAAAAGGAATCAATCGTTCTAGATTCGAAATCGAAAAATTTCTCAAGAAAAACAAAAAGCGCTTTCAGAATATGATAATAAACGCGATGATGCCAACAAAACACTTGCTGAAAAAGCACAAGATTTACAAGATGGAAAATCACTAGGTACGATTGTTTGTTTAAAATAGAAAGATAACCTTTTCATTCTTTTCTTTTTAAATCAAAGATGAAGATTCGAAATCGGTGAAAAAAGAAGAATTAACACCACATATTCCGAATTTTGCTCAATATTTAATAATTGGTGGAGGTACAACTGCCATGAGTGCATTTAAAACTATTCGAGCACTCGATCCAACTGCCAAAGTCTATATTGTTTTTTTCTTCTTCATTTGATATACATATAGATTTTTCGATTCTATACTATTTAGGTTCTTGTAGTAAGTGCAGAGAATTACATGCCATATATGCGTCCACCACTATCAAAAGATATTTGGTATACAGATGATGATGATCTTATCAGCAAACATTCATTTAAACAATGGAACGGAAATGAGAAAAGGTTTTATTTTCTTCGATATTTTCATTATAGTATTGCGAATGTTTTGTTTTTGCATTTGTTTTTAGTTTATATTTTATTGATAATGAATTTTACAGTGACGTGAAAACATTGAACGAACAAGAGAATGGTGGTGTTGCAGTTGTTCTTGGAAGAAAAGTATGATTAAATATAAATTTTGTAGAAAAACAAATCAAATTCTATTAAAATGAAAATAGGTTACCAACTTGGATTTAAAGAATTCTGTAGCCAAACTAGATAATGGATGGGAAGTCACATTTGAAAAATGTTTGATAGCTACAGGTGGTCAAGGAAAAAATTTGAAAATATTTCAAACAGTATCAAATCGTTTAAAAAACAAAATAACACTCTATAGAGGCGTAAGTATTGACTCTTATATTATAATTATGTTTTATATTAGTATAGTAGTGACAAAGAATTGTATGCTTCAATGAGTATTTTTCTTTTTCTTTCTGTCTTTTTCCACGTTTTTCTTCCTATTCGCTGTCAGTGAGTCTTCTATTTTGCGTTGAGTTTAACACAAGACGGATAGAAAGGTAAAAAAGGTGTGCAAATGCACTAATTCAAATGTATCCATAAACAGAAACGAAAACAGAAATAATATAAGTCACTTATTAAATGTTCTTGCATACATCGTTAACATTTCGTTGTCTTATGATTTGCACCTAAGTATACGAAAAATCAGCTTGAAAAAAAAACATGTTAAACGATTCAACATTGTCGACCATTCTATCTCGTATTGAACATTTATTCGACGGTCAATCATCAACAACATCATCATCATCATCATCATCGTCACATAAACAATCGCAAAGGAATACTGAAAATTTATTTCCTATTTCAACATCAAATGATTATCTTCCTGATCTTTCTCTAAACGATAGTATTGTTGATGATCTAGATCGTTATTTAAGAACTGGCGATGAACTTTCTAATGCTAGTCAAACATCTTCACCATCTATTCCATTGACACAACAAACATCATGTCAATTTAAATTTATATTAAATGCTCTAACCGCATCATCAGCGCGAATCAATGAAGAAACAACTACATATTTAAATCAAGGTCAACCATATGAAATCAGATTTCGTGCTAATAATATATCATCGTCAGAAAAATTTTCTCCTACTATTTATCGTTCTATTCTACGTTTATGTTTTTGGGATAAAACATTTCAAAATCAAGAACGTGAATTAATGCAAAAATGGTTGAATGAATATCAATCGACATCATTATTTGATGTTGACATGAATTTAACTTATGGAATTTTATCAATTATAAGTGCAAGACAAATACCAAATGCTATTGAAATTGTTTGGGATCCATCTACTACAACATCATTGTTTATTCGTTTTAAATGTACATCAACAGATTTTGCAAATAAACGACACGGCGGAGAAAAGGGTATACCATTACGTATACAAATAGACACATACCATGAAAATGATGTTGATGATTTAAAACATTTATATTCATGTTGTTGTAAAATTCAATTGTTTCGTTTAAAAGGTGCACAACGAAAGAATAAAGCAGATAAAATAAGAATTGAAAAATTAAATCTTGATCAACGTCGACAATATCAAACAACACTCGAATATACTATATTGCAATCATGTATTATTTCACCACTTTATACACTTAATCTTCTTAGTCTATCGCATTTACCTGATGATTTATCAAATGTCTATACGCAATCTTCAATGACAACAGAAAATATAACAGTCGAAGAAACAGATTTTGGTAATATAGAAGAAAAACGACACAACTCCATAGGATATTTATCGTCGTCTTTGCCAAATTTAAAACAAACATATTTTGATTCGCGAACTAATGAAAATCAAATAGCAACTAAAATAACTGTGCAATCATCAAGCGAAGAAGTTTCACATTGGTTAAATGATAATCATTTTGTTGCGGTTGTAAATCGATTTCAAAACTATAGAGGTATAGATCTGTTACGATTGACTGCAGACGATATTCGTCGAATATGTAACGACGATGATTCTATTAGTATACGCCTTTATAATCAATTAAATGAAACTATTGTAGCACCATTAAAAACACTTTATGTTAAAGTAAACAATACTGATCTATATTCGGCTATTTATTTGCATACATTAACTCGAGATGAATTCGAAAAGAAATTATTCAAATTAATTCATCCAAATCAACCAGAAACCTATAATTTAGTCCTTGAATTAAATAAAATTAAAATTAAAATAGACACGGATGATGTTGTTAAATATTCGTTACCAGATAACGGTCAATTCGATTTAAAAAAATATTCTTGTGAAATTATTCTTCATTTGATAAATAATTCTGCATAGATATTGATTTTTTTTCTCGTTCTCAAGTCATGATAATATTGAATTATTATCTACACTAGTGATTTTATTTTTCTCTTATAGATCGACGATTTTTTTTCATTAAAAAAAATTGTTGATAGTGGTGCTAATGTTGCAATTGTCGGCGGAGGATTTCTTGGTAGTGAATTAGCATGTGCTTTAGCTCATCGAGCAAACCAACGTGCAAAAGAAGGAAAACCAAGTGGAAAAATTGTTCAATTAATGCCAGAAAACGGTAAACTGGCTTAATAAATAATTCTATTTATCATTTATTATTTGATTAGGAAATATTAGTAAAGTATTACCGGAATATTTAAGTAAATGGGCAACAGATCGTATTCGAGATGGTATTCGTTTATTTTAATTATATCTACTTTCATTGTATATTGTTGTGTTTTCTAACAAATAGAGGGTGCTGAAGTAATGACAAATGTTGAATTGGTTAATGCTTCAATACAAGAAGGAAACGTGAATTTAGCTTATATTGATCCAAAAGATTCTCAAAAGACAAGTTATATTACTACTGATCATGTTGTAGTTGCAGTTGGAATAGAACCAAATACTGAATTAGCAAAATCAGCTGGTTTAGAAACTGATCCTCATCAAGGTGGTTTTCTAGTCAATGCTGAATTACAAGCTCGTCATAATGTTTGGGTGGCTGGTGATGCAGCATCATTTTATGATATTAAATTAGGTCGACGTCGTGTTGAACATTATGATCATGCTATTGTTAGTGGAAAATTAGCTGGAGAAAACATGACTGGTGCTCATAAACCGTATTGGCATCAATCAATGTTTTGGTCCGATTTGGGACAAAAAGTTGGTTTTGAAGCTATTGGTTTAACTGATTCAAATTTGCAAACTGTAGCTGTCTATGCTAAAAGACAACCCGGTGATGAAGCACCAAAAGCAGACGACGAAGGAAATCGAGAACAAAAAGAAACGGATTCGGCAGCAACTGAATCAAAAGATAAATTGCCAGAAAAGACCACTACAACCGATACTAAAAATGATTATAGTAAAGGTGTTGTATTTTATGTAAAAGAAAATAAAGTTGTTGGTGTTGTTCTTTGGAATGTATTCAATCGAATTCCTATTGCACGAAAGGTAAAATAAGAAATTTTAAGTATTAAATTGTATGGTTACATTATCTTTTCTTCTTCTCAGATAATCAAAGATCAACAAGAAATTAATGATTTTCAAGAACTTGCAAAACTTTTTAACATTCATCAAGATTAGCTTAGTATCTTTTTTTCTTCATTTCAGCTGCTTTCATTCGTAACTACCTATGTCACATTGATATTTCCTGATTAACTTTAGATTAAATCTAAACTTTGTGATTTTAAATAAACAACAATATAGTTTCAATTTTCATGAATTTACCATTTATTTTCATTTTAATATTCTTCGATGGGATATGGATAACTCATATTTTCAATAAGGTCTCTGGTCTGATCAAATGACTTTTACTGAGAATACAATATTCTACATATGAAAATTGTTTTTACATGCTAGATTATTATTTTAATTTCTAAATAAATACGCTTACATTTTCTGCTCTGATCTTCTTCTCGTCATGGTCTTCTGTTAAATACATTATAACTGTTGTTCGTGGCTTTTTACAATAGTAAATAGATGAAAAATTGAATATTTTATTTGATTCTTTACATAGATATTTTAATGCAGAACGCTAAAATGTAAGATGACTTTTGATTGCTAGAAAAACTATTAAGGAAGTATAGATTCTGAAATTGTTCCATTCTGAAGTGAAATGAAATAAACATTTTTAATTCAATCAATTATCCATAGTAAAAAGAGAATATGAGTGACAATGACAATAAAAGCCGTGGATATTTTGATTTGAAAAGAAAACATATTAAAAAAATGTTTTAATTGTTGAAACGAGAAATACTTTGCCGAAACATTGTATGAAATCACAAAATCTACGGCTTATTTACATGTATATAAAATGAGTGCTATTGTATGTATTCAAATTTCAAATCATGAGAATAAATTACAACAGCAATAAAGTTAAATTTTAATAAAATTGTTTTAGTTTATCATATCCTACTGACAAGACCGGTAAGCCATAAATCATTTACTTATCATCACCTTGTACTTGAGTAATAAACTTATCATTAATATATAAATCAATTGATTTAATAAACATGAATTTGGTCCACGATGAATAACAATTGCATTTAATGCCAGATGAGACAAATCATCAACATGATATGATTTAGTTGATTCATTTGTTTGTAAAAACGAATCTCATGTATCTGATGACGATAAACTATTTAATTCATCTTTAATAATAATACAGTTTAAACGTGTTGGTAATAAAACAGCTACCTTACCAGATAGAACTTCATTTAAAATATTTTCATAAAATTTAAAATCAAATCGAGTTAAAAATTCCAACGAACCTATAGAAATTTCTTGAAACATACTCGAAGCATGTGGGTGTGGATGCGACTGTATTTTTAACTTAATCACACCCATACACATGTGATATTATTGAAAAATGAAGCTGATACACGAAACAATTAATTAAAATTTTTCTACCCACAGTGGTATTATATATTTTTGCAAGCTACTGAAAAGATGTAGTCACTTTAATGTTATAAAAACAAAGATTTTATTTCGATTTATTCTTTAATATAAAGCAAACACAAATAAAGTGAGACACCCCTATGCAGAAAAAATCTTTCTTTTTCATTCTTTTATTTCCCACTGATGTTTATTGACCTTGAGTCATGTTGCTTTTTTTTGTATATATGTGTATGAAATCATAAGAAAAATTCACTTTTTTTCAAACTCTTCGTTGGCAGTCTCAAACATACACCTTAGCGTTAGCATATTAAGACATGGCAACTTCAGCGACAACTTCCAAACAATGTTTTATATGTAAAAAAGAGAAATCCAACTTATACCCATGTGGAGGCTGCTCAGAAAATTTTTGTTTCCCTGATTTATCAAAACACCGTCAAGAACATGTAGTAGAACTAGAAAAAATTGTCACTGAGTGTGATACATTCCAACAAAGTATAAGTGAGCAACAGCAAGATCTCAATCATCGTCCATTAATACAACAAGTGAATAAATGGGAACGCGATTCAATCATGAAAATTAAGCAAACAGCAGAAGATTGTCGCCAAAGATTAATTAAATCGACAGATGATAATATTATTGAAATAGAGAAGGAATTAAATCAACTCAGTTCTCGCTTGAGAAAAATGCGATATGATGAAGATTTCAATGAAATTCATTTAAACAACTTGAGGATGCTACTAAAGGAATTGGAAAAAGAACTTGATCAACCACGGAATGTTTCCATTTTGGAAGAACCTACATCGTTTATAAACAAAATATCAATTTCAGGTTAGTTTGACAATTAAATCTGATTTGAGAAAAGAGCCTACGAATGGCAGATGCTAGTAAAGTTAGCACGATACTCGAATATTTTCAACCCCGATTTGACCTATGATCTGTGTGATGGGTGTTCCACAGATTACGTGAGACAGAAAACTTCATCCTCTATTCAATGGTAACAATTTCGATGGGGGATCATCGAGCAAAAATATGGGCTCGATGCATATCTGGGTATGATAATCAGTGAGGGTTTGTGGTGACAATAGATACGAAGCAATACTTTTTGGGAATATTGCTTCTTCATTCATCACAGGAAAAACGCTCACCGATCGGTGGTTGTGTGCATGTGAACTTTCATTTAACACCCACACCCTAGGAAATTGATTAATAACAGTTGAAGTAATACATGATGAGAGAAAAAAGATCGAAGCTATATTGAGAAGATAGAGGACTTAGAAAATATCTTAAATTGGAGAAAAAGCAGAGAAACTGCG